TTGAAAAGAAAATATAATCTTCAAAATATTTTAGCAGTGACAGTTTTAGAACTGTTAAAGAAGGGTGCTGGCTATATTGGTTTTATTTTTATTTTTAACTAATGAGAGAATGCTATTTTGTTTGATCATAAGTGATCTTTTATGTGGAATTTAAATTACAGAGGTTTGTGTGAATGAAATAATATAAATTTATCTCACCAAAGCATTTTTTTTTCCTGGAATTGCTTCCCCAGAAGTTTTCCTTAACTGAGCCAACATGTCCCAGGTTTTTAAGAGTTAAAAATAACAGGTTTAGGAGGGTAGGTTAAGAAAAGTTGCTTAATCATTAAAAAACAGAGTTGGCATTGGAAACTGATACCAAATAAGAATGTGTACTCTATTACTCAGAATTTCATGTGCACTTTGAATATAGTAACTTTATTTTCAAAGAAACCTGTAAAACCTACTTTATAAACATTATGCTAAAAGTTTTTATTTCTTTTGTTTTCCTTTTAATAAGTACTGTACATTCTTTGATCAGCATTTTTTTTTACTCAGGTACAGTATTAAATAATGATTAAATTAAGTCTTAAGAGTCTTTGCTGTATAACTTGTTAATTTGCTTGCTTTCCACTTAAGATTTCATCTTATAAATTGTGGTCCATTAATATCTTGCTAATATCAGCAAGAATAAGGATTGCAGGCTTGGCATCTACTAATACTGAATTGTCAGGATTTATGCACCTGATTCTATTGCTGAGAAATAAATTGCTTCTTTTCTTGCAGTTAACTCCTTCAGGTCTCTTGAATAACTACTATTCTGCCCTAATCATTAAAGGGATACTAGTCTTTGAGTATTGGTATAACTTGAATCAGTGATTATATAGGTAGCATCATTCTGATTTCTATAATCTTAATCTTTTTAGTTTTAACATTATTCTTTTTGAACTGATATCTTCAATGACATATCCTAGAGTACATTCATGTACCATTATTAATGATATTAATTTTTTTGATTGGCCAAATAGGTTAGCCTTAGATACTCCATTTTATCAATTCTAAGATACATATTTTCCACATTTTTATATCTCTTATTTTGGGATATATTTTATAAGTGGCAGCATCTTAAAATTGCTATCAGCCAAATGCCATACCTCTTAGTTATATGAACATCTTTTACTTCCAGTAAGTATCAAGAAAATAACAGCATCAAAATGTCTTTGATTTGATAAAAAAATGGTTTTATAGTTTTTAAAAATTAAGTCTTAAAAATTTGCCTTGCAATATTTCTGCATTTGTTAATATGCTTCCTTCAAGTATATAAAACTGAGACATGGGTTTTAAGAAGGTAGATGATTCTAATTTTATTATTCATGAAAAAATAAATATTGATACATTAAATTGATCAAAAATTATATTTGGTTACACAGGACCTGCAACCTGCATTTAAACTAGATAAGTTAGTATTATTCCCATCTTAGGAATATTCAAATATTTGAATTTGAATTTGGTTGTGTAATCTGGTTTATTTATTTGAAAGTGTTACCCCTGCCTCTCACTCTTTTGCTGGCCTTTGAATAATTTCCTAAATCTAAGTTGTTAACATAGTATTCCTGTTTGGTATTATATTTTAATCTGTTTTTTGTTTGTGCTTGCTTTTTTTTTTTTTTCTGCGAAGTGGGCAGGCTAGCTTTTAAGATCAAGAAGGAAATAAACTCTTCAAGATTTTAGTTTTAGGCTATATAGTAAAAACTCATTTGAAAATCAAGAACAAAGAAACTAGAAGTATCAAGACTGAGGGAAGAGGGAAGAAAAAATCAAGGCCATTGGCTTTCCTATGTAATGTTACTTCTCAAGGTCTATGTTGAGAAAGGCCTAGACTCTTTTGCCACCTTTTGATCATCTCATATTTTGCTGATTTCTTAGTAGGCTCAATAATTAGGCATTGATTTTCCTTTTTAATTTTTAAGATATGAAGGCAAGAAAATTTTAGTCAGAAAGATCTTTTACACATCAATTTGTGAAGAGCCCTTTAAAAGCTTTTCCTCCCCTTGGAGTTGGCACTTCCGGGATGAGGCAATACATGTTGGGTTCATTCCTTAGAATGTGTATAAGAAATCCAATTTTTATATTTTTATATTGATTTATTGAATATCAACATTTGAATAGTATATATTTATATTTTTAACCGAGTTTTTCTTCCTTTGCAGACGGATTAGCTGCATTATCTTTCTCTATTAGTTCTTTGACCTTGATTGGAATGTTGGCAGCCATAACTTACACCGTAAGTGCAATGGTGATAATTGAGTTAAAATTTAAGAATGACTTTATGAAGCAACTTTTTTTCTACTTTAGTCATGTATTCAATTTCATTATATTTTTCTCTTTAATATTTTGTGTTCATTTTTCTTGAGTTTTCTTAAGGGTAAATTTTTAGTTGTTTTACTTGTATTTGTGAAATTTAATCTTTAGAAGTGAAATTTTGTAATTAGTGAACTTGAAGGTGGATATGTACTAAGGAGTAATAGATTTAGTTATTTATAAGTATTAGAACTCTGAATCATAGATCGATACCTGTTAATTGATTCAGTTAGATATATCCTACTTCGGGACATTGGGCTTTTACAATCAGATGTTTTTACATAATTTGATTTTTCTCTAGTATAGAGAATACAAATACAGTCTTATACTCTGAGAGGCTTTTTTTTTCTTTTTCAGAATTCCTGAAAATTGTAATAGTCTAACAAACTTGTATACAGTCTGCCCTTTGAGTTTTTTGCTCAAATTATAAAGGAAAAACCAGTAGTAAAAGATTATTACCCTACTTCCTGAAAAGGAATTGTACAGAAAACTTGAAATTATTTGGAACCTTTTTATATTAATGGAGTTTGCTTAAAGCATTCTTGATTACTGCAAAAATGGAAAATACTGGTTATGAGAAAAATATCTTTGTATGTTGTTGAAATATTTTTCTTTGTACATACAATGAATGGGCTGTATAGTGTGATAGCAGAATCTAGTTTGGTTACATAAGTATTCAAATGTCATATAATAAAAAGTCTAAAATACATACATTTTAATATTTTGTAGGTACTTATTTGTGTGCTCAGTTTTATTCATTGCCTTTTTTTTTTTTATGTATTACCACATAAGTAATTTGCCATCTGATGTCAGTGGGTAATTAATTACGCTGCCGTCTCACAGAATATATCTACAGCATGTTAGTGTTTGTCTTTTAAGAAGCAATCGCATGTTAACAAGTTAGGAGTTACACCTAGACTCAGGTTACTGTCCTGTGCTGGATTTGTTAGGTTGATTTTAGTTTTGTCTTAAACTTGATGGATTTGTGTCTTCCTCAACAAAGGAGAATAGCAAATGCCTCTTAGGGGTGTCTGAAGGTCAAATGGTACTACTTGTAAAAGTGCTTTGAAAATGAGTGTATTAATAGTTGATGAAATATGAGTCAGGAGAAACAAATGGAAAAAAGAAGAAACCAATATGAAAGGCCAACTTTAAGAACCATGGAAAGTCTAAGATTTTACCTTGCAGCCTGCTATAGTTCCATGGGTGTTGGCTGAAGATATAAGGCTTTTCTGCCAGAACTTTATAGTACATACAGCAGTAGCAGTAGCTATTGCATCACATTTTTCTTCAGCTGCTTCTCTGAGTCCCATGTGGGGGACTTCACATGGGGCAATGTGAAGAGCACCGGATGACTGTCTTGCCAGTGGGTTTCAGTCCCAGGCAAGGTCACTATGGATTCAGTGTGACCAAAGAGATAACAGTAGAACGTCTTTGGGTGAAAGGGTTATACCCAACTTTATTCCCACGGTGGCAGGTAAGTCACTAGAATCTTGTTCACTCAGAGAAAGTCTGATGCAGCAAGCTGGTCTCTGCCTCTGGGCCCCACTGTCCTCGGCTCTGCCAACACTCCAGCCTCTGCTCTGCTCTCCTATATAGAGTCAATAACAATGTATTGCCCACGCATGTGTAGTGAGCTGGCCAACCAGGGCCAGGTGAGAATCCTGGCCACAGGAACCTTCATTTTATCCACAGTGACACTTTCACATAAAAGAAGAATCTTGAGTTTAGGGAAGCCAAATCTTTTATAACGGACAGTAAGCCTGCTTGCCCTTTACTCCAATGAAAGATTCTATTTTTGTCTTCCAAGGCTGTTTGCTATGCAAACAATCTTGAAAATATAATACAAAATAAAAAAGCATAGATAGTGCCTGGCTTACAAGATGGACAAAAATGAGATACCAACAAAGTATTGTCTCTCAATGGTCAAGTGGTAGACGCTGTGAAAAAAATAAAGCGATGTAAGGGGATAGACATTAGTGGAGACTAATTCTACTTTAAAGGTCAGGAATAGCTTTTCTAGCATTTGAACAAAGACTTGAGTGAAGTGAGAGAGCCAGCCGTAAGGGAGGAGTAAGTACAGAAACCTTGAGGTAGGCACATATATATGCTGAATTCAGGTAGTGGCAAGGAGGCGTAGACAGTGTGGTGGAGCTAAGTTAACAAGGGGAAGAGTGGTTGAATTTTGGATGAGAAATAGCCAGAGGCCATGTTATGTAGAGACTTATAAATCATGGTTAGTATTTTGAATATTATTCTCATTGAGATTAGAAGCCATTGGATGGTTTTAAATGGAAACATTTGACTAACATTGTAACAGTATTATTCTGGTGCTTCTGAATTAAATAAGCAATGGGGGTGATGAGTGGGAGTGGCAAAAATGTGTGAAATTATTAAAACAGTGAAAAAGAGCATCCCTGTAGGAACAATATTATTGTAAATATAAGTACTTCAAACTAATATATTTTATATTTTAATTGAAATGGTGAAAGTCACCATTTAAGCAGTCAAACCAAATGTAATAATCATACTGACATAGTTAAAATATCCTTAGAAAAGCATTATTTTTCTAGAAGGCAAAGGGCTGAGCTACATTGATAAAACAATTAAGCGGACCTTATGATGGGGTTGGAGCTGAGAACCAGAGGACATGGAAGAAGATGCTGACTAGGGGGGGAGGGGCCCACTCAGGGCCTAAGCCTAAGGGGGAGGGTCCAGCAGCCCATGGAGATCAAACTACCTAGGTAGGGGCTATATTTTTTCTTTAAGTAGCATAAGCAATAAAATAATGATCCTTGGTGGAGAGGTTGTGGGCCCCTGGACCCCTCTTAAGTCCATAGGTGCCTTGAACTACTTTACATCTAAATTTACTCACCTCTAAAGGGAGAATAACGTTTAATAAGGTTGTGAGGATTTAGTTGAACAATTCACCAAGTCTTGGAATATTGGCCATTCAATAAATAGTCACTAGTAGCTCCAAGTGTTGAATATTCGGTTTCATTTTGTTCAAACTATAGTCCCTACCTCTTTCCAAATTTGTAGTGAAAACAAACCAGATGCTAAGAGCAGTTAACATCCTAATCAGTAAGCATGTGGGTTATAAAAGAGATGAGTAAGTCAAAGAGGCATTCATAGTTGGATGGTGCTTACTTGGGAGTGTGTGGACAAACAAAACATCATTTAAACAGCACTACCAGATACGCTCAAAATTTAGTGGGAGAATGTTTTGCTACCAAACCAGAGTCTGGCCAGTTTTACTACCTTGTGGGCATAAAGGAGACCCCATTCAAGGGGGTAGCATGTCGCATATATGTCTTTATGAGTGTCTTTATGAAAAATCTAGTATCTGTACCCTAGATTCTCCATCTGTAAAAATGGACCAATACTACTTACCTAAACTTTATTAAAAACTAGTTGAAAATCAACTGTTTATCCATGGAAGGTTAATAATAGTAATTATCATATTTGCTTATAATAGATACTAAGTTTTCTCCTAACTCACTAGGAAAAGCTCAAGATTTGGGCTTTTTATGTGATGGAGTATGGAAGAGGGTATATGGTACACATGCATGGGAAGTAGAAGAGATTTAATTTTAAAGTACCCAACATGGGAAGTTAATAGAGTACTTTCACTATGAGTGCAAATAATTGTTTATTAAAGGTAAAATCATGTATGTTACAGAACCCGTAACTTTTAGTATTAAGACTGAGAAGTTTTTGTAGTGTGTCAGTTTAGTGTGAATTTCCTAGATATGCATTATTAGTTTAGAAACTAGTTGATTATTTAAATTTTGCCAATCTTATATCCCCTTAGTAATTGGACAATTCAATTTTAGGAGAAGAATGTCTAAGTACATTTTAGCTTGCTGTTGTTTTCAGCTTAAATTGAAAGGGAGGGAATCTACTACTTTTTAAATAAAAAAGATAAAACCTCTAGGTACAAATATTTATGTATTTTAATTTTTTGGTGCCACCATATGGGGAAATGTTGAATAATAATATTTTCATATGAAATGTATCCTATGGGTCACTGAAATGCCTATAGAGGCAGTGACTACTCAACTTTTTATTATATGCACTTACCAGTAAAAAATTAAACCATGTCTTCCAGGCTGTTTTTAAATTTTATATAACATATATGCACATAAATACCTACACACATAGGCCTACCTTGTTTTATGACACTTTGCTTTATTATTATTCGTAGATTCTGCCTTTTTTAACAATTGAAGGTTTGTGGCAACTGTATGCCAAGTGAGTCTTTTGGTGCCATTTCCCCAATGACATTTGCTCACTTTGTGTGTCTGTGTCACATTTTGGGAATTCTCACAATATTTCAAACTTTTTAAGTTTTATTATATTTTTTATGTAGATTTGTGGTCAGTGATTACAACTTGCCAAAAGCTCAGGTTGGCATGTTTTTAATAATAAGGTCTTTTTTTAATACTTTAAAATTAAGGCATATGCATTGTTTTTTTGGACATAATGCTGTTCACATTTGGTAGGGTATAGTGTAAAAATAACTTTCACATGCACTGGGAAACAAAAATGTTCATGTGACTCCATTATTACTGTATCCCCTGGTTCACTGCAGTGCTGTGGAAACAAACCCACAGTGTGTTCGAGGTACGCCTGCTGCGTGCACGTAGAGAATTATGCTCATCTGTATACACTTACTACTGAATATAAACTAATGGATTAAATAAAAAAGGTAAATTAAGGATTCAGAAATAGAAATAAACAGAGCAGTAGTTCTCAGTGATCTTTGAAGACAGAATTCCCCTTTAAAAGTCAAGTTTCTCAGCCTTTCATATGATACTTTTTTCATTGAGTCTATGCCACTGATTGTAAAAATGCATATTTCACATACCACAATTAAGGAAAAAATCCCTGCCCATGCTTTTATCATTTGTAATTTTTATTTTATATTTAGTGAGAGAAGTTTTTCAGACTTAAGTATTTTTAAAAAATCATATCATTCCTCTGGATACATAATAAGGAAAATATAAGCAAGATAAATTGGCAAGGTATTCCTGAAACTTTACCTTTGAAATGTGAATCTTCTGAATTGCTCTTTGGAGCTGCTTATTCATGTCTGTTTTACTATACAGGATTGTCTTTTGTGCAACTAAAAGAATTGGTGGTGCAGCTTTTTTGAGCACTCCACGGGTATCTCAGATTGTCTTTGAAACTGATAACATTTCCATTGTGTACATTTAAGCTAAGAAAATAAGACATTATTTTCTTGTCTTTCCTTGTGAAAGGCAATCCTTTAACATTTACTGAAGTAGCTAAATGGTTGCTACTTTGGGTACCTCCCTTTTTTAAACTCATAAGCACTTGTCTATTGCTTACTGTTGCTTTGCAAGAAAATATAGAATTATGCTTAGTGTTTCAATGAGTATTTGCTTCACTGTTTGTTCTCTTTCTCCTAACACATTAACTTCTTGTTTAAATATCAAATCATAGTACTATCTTATAAGACATTTTAAGTGGTAGCTATAAACTCAGTAGTTGTGCCAAGAATCCATGAAACTCACCCAAAGTAACTAATGTAACCAACGGTGGCCAAATATGTGAATGTGCAGGTAATGACCATTATGTCCTGACTTCTGCCTAGCCAGTGATTACAAGATGGATCCAAATTTCACTAATGTTAAATGTGAGAAAATACATTGTCTTAGAATCAATGAATATTTAAAAATGAAATGTTAATTGAGTTCACATGAAATAAATTGTTCATTAGTCGTAACAGCATACATATTCCTTGAATAACAGGTATTACAAATGTATTCCAGACATTTATTCAGTCTACAGTCTTGGTGTTGACCCTTTTCAGTAATCCAGGGCTCACAGGTTGGAAACCCATCATCCTAGCCAGATGACGAATATGTAGGTAAAAAGAGCTATCCTAAACTGGCAGTGTAAGAAGGTATTAGAAATGCTTGTAGTTTGTGTACATTATTATTTCAAAACATTTTGGGTTTTAAAACACAGATGGAGATTTATTCTTGGAAGTTGAAACAAAATTGGAGGCAGTTATGGCCCACCAAGAAATATTTTAAATCATCTCTTTAGCCTTGCTGATTCTCTGGTAATTCACTAGAGGGCAGTAGTAAGCAATACAAGTTTTGTGTTTGTGAAGCAGACATTTTTTTCACTTTTTTTTCCAAACAAGTCTAAGGTTCAATTCAAAAGGTTTTTGTTTAAAGATCTTAATCTTTAAAAGTTGTAATGATGAAATGTTTTCTCTAGTAGAATTTATCATAATCTAAATATTATAGTTAAATTTCCTGATAATCATTGAAACTTAAACATATGGTCCAAAAACAAGCTAAAAGCTAAGGTAACCAAAACAATGAGTACTTTCTTTTACTTGTTCTCTTCAGACAACCAAAAACTCACAGAAAGATGTATTCTGGTCCCATGTTACCACAAGGTATTACCAAGGACATATTTTTATTTTCTGAAATTTTAACATTAAATTATTTAGGAATTCAGTTCTTCCAATAAATAAATTCCATGTAAGGAAATAAGTTTGTATGAATAAAGAGTTCTTTTTAAAAGACTGTTGTTTTAATATTACCTTCTAAGAGAAATTATTTTATTAATTTAATGTTCTTGGAATAAAAGTAGAAGAAAAAAGAATTGAGACCTAATTCTTACATATCAAAGTGTCTACTGCAATCATTACTGGTCTAGCTAAGAAATCTGTATTTTAAGAAATTTCTGAGTGATCTGATTAGCTTAGTGTGGCAGGTCTAGTGATAAAACAAATGTGCAGCCAATAATGTCGAAGTACAGTGTTTTATACCATAATTGAGTGTATAAGCAAGGCCCATATACAAGTCAAGGAAGGGTTTTCAGACATGGTGTAATTAAGGTGAGACCTGGAGGGCCTTGAGATTTGCTAATGAAGTAGGGTGAGAATGTAGGCATGCCAAGTGAGGGCACTGCATGTACTGAAGTGTGGATGCTGGACAGTATGTGAAGTAATGTAAAATCAGAGGCCTGAGATAAGGTTGGAAGGGATCAGGTCATGAAGGGCTTTGTATGCCAGGAGTAGATAATTCGAGTCTGTTCATAAGACCAGTAATTGTACCTTTCATTGAAAAAATAATAGCAAAACACTGTTTCAAACAACCTTACATGAAATTCTGTTACATAAAAAAATAGATGAAGAAAGTAGAATTTCTTTGGTTAAAGTAGCAGCAGGTCCCTGCATGGGTACCTGCCTTCTTTGTCTCAGTAGTGGCCCTTAAGGCACCTACCCAGAATCCTAGGAACTACTCCCAGAACACTTTGAAAACTGCCCTTTTTTAGTCTTGGAGAATCTTAATGTATGCTAACTAAAGGAATGGCATAATCTGACTTGGGTGTGAGAGAGAGATCATTTTGGAAACACTGTAGAAGACAGATTTGTAGAAAATGAGACCAACAGACCAGTCAGGAGCACTTAGATGACCTTGTCTTTGACAGCTGACTTTAAATAAGGGCCATATTATTAATGCTCACTAGAGCAACAGATACCTTGGGAAATAGTACTGAGTACTGAGGTTAGTACATTTAGAGACCTCGATCTGTCCAACACAGAGTAACAAGAACTGGGGTAAAATAAGACTAGTTTGGAGGTGGTTGGCCATAAACTGGGTTCAGCAGAGTATATTTGCCCTGGCTTCTGGCTGTAAAAAGCAACATGGACTTGTGTTAAAATGGTATGTGAGTGTCGAAGATTAGCAAATAATCATATGTAATACTATATATTCATCAGAGTCATATGAAGTGTTATATTACCTTTTTTCAATAACGTTTAAAAGATGTGAAACTACTAGAACAACCAAATAAGTCAAAATGATAATGGAATAGGAAAGTCCTACAAGAAAAGGTTGAAGAAGCTGTGGGATACTTTTTTCCTGTACATTTTCAGTGTTTTGTGGGTATAAAATTTAATGTAAAACATATTAACTTTAAATATACTTCTTTCTTTTTATATTTTACCAGGGTCATTACAAGTATAAATTTGACAAGAATTGGTTAAAAGAAAATCACTCTACTTCGTCCAAATTATATTTTCTTTTAATACAAACAACCTTTTCCCCATCTCTTCTTTTTTTTTTTTTCCCCCTTTGGAAGATAGGGAAATTATGAAAATATTAATTTAGGTTTTAGCAGTATCTAAAATGCAAGATTTTAAGTTTTTTTCCTTTAAAAATATATAAGAATTTGTATATATTGGGTAATAATCTCAGTTCATTAATTGTGTAGATAGAACATTGCTGTCGAGTTGATTTTACCTGATATAACCAGTTGGTTTCTTTGTATCTGACTTAATTAAAAAAAAACCCTGAAGTCAGAATTTATACTTTGCTATTTTAATTGTGGTTTAATCAATATTTAATCAGTGTCTAATGGAGACTCTGTGAAGAATATTAACATAACTAAAATTGACATTAAAGATACTTGACCTGATGCTGGGAGTTGACAACCAGGTACCAGATAGCATGAGAAAAATGGTCATGACCCAGGATATTCTGCAGTTCGGGGTTAAGCCCAAGAAGTCACATTTATCACTCCTGTCCATATACATTGTCTTGAACCCAATCTAATGGCCCCGTGTAACTTAAGGAGAAACTGGCTAAAGTAGTTCAGCTGTGTGCTCACGAGGAAAATGAAAGAGATTTCAATGCATAATTTTCTATCTACTTGAGAATCTGTTGCTACAACCAGAAGTGATAGTTGTCAGTTTGCTTCTAAGGATTTTAGGTCAACAGTGGTTTTGAGTAATGGTCTCATGACAATTGAATGGTTACAGTAAAACGTCATCATTTGGAACTGGCTAATACAGAATTGGGTAATATAAAATAATACATTTACTCTTAATGCTGACTAATATTTAAAAATTACTTATAGAAAAACTTAAAATACTTAACTAAAACTTATTTTAAATATTTAGAACTTATAAATAAACTATATAGATAATTGTTGTGCTGATCAGTTAACATGTATATTATAATACATTTTACTAAGGGTTTACTATATATATATACTTGGAGAAAATTATTTTTTCACAGAAAATATCTCTATAAATTGTTCTTATTAATTCACACTGTCTTAAACCCTGAGTAGCCTGAAGCTGTAATGTATTATTTTGATATTTACATTAATTTTGCAGCTTGTCCTTTGAGGAATAGATATTACTTACCCTGGGAATAGTTAGTCTTACACATGTAACTATACATACCTGTAAATATGAAACAAGAGAATTATGAGACAATATAGTCATGATTTACTTCCATATACCATATTCTTTTGTGATTATACCATATTACAACTGCTTACTCTTTTTGTAGTTGTTTTAAAGGACATTTTTACCTGAAAGTTGTGTATAATGTTTTTTAAATGATATTACTAAAGCATGTTTTGTTTCTTTTAGGCCTATGGTATGTCAGCATTACCTTTAAATCTGATCAAAGGCACTAGAAGTGCTGCTTATGAACGCTTAGAAAACACTGAAGATATTGAAGAAGTGGAGCAACACATTCAAACAGTTAAATCGAAAGTGAGTGGATATTTTATTATAATTGGGAAGCATAAAAGTACTTTGTCTTTGAGCTGCTTTCTGATACGACATAAACATTGGTAAACCCAAAATCTTGACACGGAATTTTTTTGCAATATATCCTTAAGGAACCATGTCCATATTTTAAAAATTTGTCTTCTGTGAAATGTAGAATACTGGCAGTTTGAGAATTTCTGTGAGTGTTTTAATAACTAAAAAACAAACGTTCTGTTTATGCATGATCAAGATCTTGCTAGTTCCCAGGAATGCTGATTCCATGTGAACATCAAATTTTACTGAATCACTTAAGTTCAAGTTCATATGCTAGTTGAATAAGTTAAAGATTACATGTAACCACTTGCCAATTAAATGTACTTTTAAAAATATAAAGTTTTTATCCTCTATCACCTTCAAGTAACAGATAAATCTTATTAAAAAACAATGGAAAACATAGAAAATTTTCTGAATTATTTTACTAAATTAGCATAATCCTGATACACAAAGCAGATTGTAATAGTACACACAAAAAACCCATATAAATAGGTCTCTCTTATGAAAATAGAAGCAAATATTTTAATATAAATATAAACATTAGCAATCAAAACCTGTGCCGTAATAAGATAATATTTCATACTTATCAGAGTTGGTTTATTCCAGAAATGCAAAGATGATACATAACAAAATATATTAAAGTGGTTTAATATATTGAAAATAAATGAGAAATATAAACATCTTAACAGATGCCAAAGGGTATCTGGTGAAAGTCAATTTGTAGTTATGATTTAGAAAAGAAGTCTTACCAAATTAGAGGAAAAGAAACTGTTTAGCAAAGGAAACCTATAATGAGCATCACACTTAGTGGTGCGTGAAATACACTCACACTCACTGAAGTTAGATATAGGACAGTCATGTCGGTATCATTATTGCTCTTTAGCCTATTCCTGGAGGTCCGGGTTAGGTAAAAGAATGTCAGAATCTTCCTGGTGGAAATTATAAAATTTATTGAAATACGTAGTAGGAAGACTACAAAAAAATGGAGAATTTCATCAGTTCCTACCTGAGGAGATTTAATATTATAGAGATGACAGTTTTTCATAAGTTTAGATAGAAAGTCAATACAATATGTAAAAGACAAAAAGTGAAATTTTCATCAGCCTCCTACCATATAATAAAACAGATCCTGAATGCAAATGAAATACAAAATTTATAAAACGTTTGGGAAAAGGGAAAGTAAGATTTTATCTTGGTGTATAGACCTTTCTAAACAAGACACAAAACCCAAGTGCTAATTAAGAAATTGGTGAGTTTTAAATTTTTATATTTGAAAATTTATGTACCAAAAACAAAAGGGAACCAAAAAGGATGTTACAGAACTAACATGTATATATGGGAGGAAGTAACCTGCAGTATAGGAGATAAATAAAGAGCATCTTCAAGTCAGTAAGAAAAAAGGGCAGGTATTACATAGATAGTGAACGAAAGAGCCAGGCGGACGGTTTACAGAAGAAAACTGTTCAGTGAAAAAAATGAAATGATGCTTCAGCTGATCAAGAATAAGTAGACTGACCAAGCAATCCAGTGTGCTTGCGGCCTCAATCAGTTGGACTATTCAGTCCCAATTTTGGCTCTACAGCTTATACACGTAACATCTGTGGGTCTTACTTTCCTTACCTAATAAGTAGATATAATACTATTGCCAAATTCAAACTTATATTCTGAGGACTTAAGGAGAATAAATGTAAAAGTACAGATCAGTTTTAGGCACAAGAAATGTGCTCAAGAAGTGTTAGCTATTGTGGACAACAAAAACTATATTTGCAAATATGTGGACACGTGACCTGCTTCACGGTGATAACCGTGCGTAAGGGACGTGGCGATCAAGGACAGTGTGAAGGCAAGCTTTCACGTTTTACTTTTTTTAAACAAAAGATATATGTTTATATACTTCAGAACTACATTTTTTTTCAAATGAGATAATTGGTGACAGCTGGGTTTCTATCCTAGGATTTGTTTTTGTGACAAAAATTCTTCTTATACTGGTTTGGTCGATTGGCAAAATTCATCCTTCACTCCACTGAAACAAACATTCACCAAATAAGCAGACAACTTGAGTTTATTTTAGTGGACCGTTTCATCAGCTTACTACATTTTTTTCCAAACTAGTGAAGGCCAGCAGTGTAATAAAACTACCTCATTGTTGATATCCTTTTGATGTTAGATGCACTTTTGAGAGAAATTGTATGTTTAAGATATGAAATACTGAACCCTTCTCACACCACACACTTGAGGTATTATTCCTCTGTCCTCAGAAAATACCTTTCTGTAAGATTTGTTTTTCTGGGATACATTTTGATAATACTCAGTGTACTTGACTTTAGTGATAGGTAACCTATGCAAAGTATGGTCTTGGGACAGTATCATCAGCAACTCCTGGCAAGTTAGTAGGAATTCTAGGTCCCACTCACCACCTATTGAATCATGTTCTCTCCGGGTAGGGTCTAGAGGTCTGTGTTTAAAACTTTGCTGGTGGTTGCTACACATGGTGAAGCTTGAGAAGCGATGTGGTAAGGCAAGCAAGAGGGTGGCGAGTTCCAGAAAAGCATGGCGGCGATGTTACATAAAGGGCTGGCTGTGATTGTAGATCTCTTTTTTAAAGGGTATTGAAATATTGTTTTTATTATATCTGTGATTTCAGGTTGGGCTGCATGAGAATATGCTGGAGAGCGTTATGTGTGTATCTTTTAAGAACCTGCTTAAACTTGGAGAAGGAAATAGACAACATTCTAATAGCTTATCTATTTACATCTTAAAAAAATCTAGGCCTGTATAAATATTTTTCTTGTTCCTTTCAGTAAAAGCAAATCAATCTACATTTCACCTTTTCTATATTTAGCAGTTGTCTTCTTGTTGTAGTTGATTACTGTGCTGCATGAAGACACTTAGGGGCAGGGGACTTGTAGTGGGAAAGTGTATTTGTGAGAGACCATGAGAAAAGTACTGTGATACAGTAAGTATCACATAAAAATAGATGGGAATTACCTGTCAGATAGATTCGCCAAAGAAAATATCACTCACAAATGTCCTTGGAGAAGAAGAAAGTGTCAGTTCTTAGCAATTGTTTTAAAAACCTCTGTGTACCAAAAACTAGTGTTGCATCCATGCTGATATTTGAGTCAGACGCTGAGAAGCATCAATTCCCATGTACCAAGATAGTCACTTGACCAAAGGGAGAGTTGAAGTCAGACCAAATAAATATATTAAGATAGGGATAGGAGGAGCTTGGAAATGAGGGAAAATAATTGGACAAAAGTGTGTATACCCCATAAAGAAAGGTTTTTAAAGATATCTCCACATAACTTGACCATGTATTTGGAAAATAAGAATCAAGAGGAAGTTAAGTATTAAATGTACACACATCCATACTTTGATGCTGACCTTGGTTCAGAGTGTGTGCTGTCACATAAAGACTGGCAGGTTTTTTTTTTTTTTCAATCTGTGAATTCGCCTAAGGAGTATCCAACCTGAAAAAGTTTTTCTTGGCTTATCTGCTAAATCTGATGGTACTTTATTGAGACTTTAATGATAACTGTTTTGTTTTGTTCTGTTATTTGTAGAGCAAAGATGGTCGACCTTTGCCAGCAAGGGATAAACGTGCCCTAAAACAACTTGAGGAAAGGTTACGAACACTTAAGAAAAGAGAGAGGCACTTAGAAGTCATTGAAAACAGCTGGTGGACAAAATTTTGTGGCGCTCTCCGTCCCCTTAAGGTAAATGGAGTTTTAAAAAATTGTGCTGTCCCTCTACTCTAAAATTTATAGAGTACCTTTCAGAAAGATTGAGTTCTTTTGAAGTTACAAAATGGTACCTAAGAGCATGGATTTTGGAGTTAATCTGGTTTTGAATCACATGTCATTTGGTAGTTCGGTCTAAGTACATAGCCTCTGAATTTCATTTACTCGTGCAAGTATTACAACAGAGGTGTTGGACATTTAAATTTAAATATAGATAAGTAATGTAGTGTGCTGCTAACATATTTTGTAGGTTTATACTTTTCTATAAATAGGAGATCTGGGACCCATATTAGAACTTCAGAGCCCTAACTGAAAGTAATAGAATTTGCTTCATTGCTAGGTGATCTGTTTCTGAAAATATGTAAAATGGTATTTAAGATAAAAAACCATTAACCTCTTTTATTTGGAAACCATTATTTGCCAGCTTTGAGTTCTTTGGACAGTGATACCAAACTTAAGAACCTAGATAAATTAAGGCTACCATAAAATGACTATAAATCTAAAAATTAGCAAGAACTGCCGGCCACAGATTTCCATATGTGCCCTTTATGTATCTGGCATTTCAAACAGTAGTGTTTTATGTACAGTGGTATGCAAATTGCAGTTTAGCAAGTGCAGTGAATAGACTAATTTGAGGAAAGTTAGGTAAGGTGAAACTAGAAAGTAGGTTTTGACTAAGTTTAAAAAACTTTTTGAGAGCCCCGTGGAAGATACATGGGATTGGGTTCTGAAGCTGTTTTGTCTCCCTCTTAGAAAGGAAATAAGGAAATACTTATTCTAAAAGGCTCCTCTTTTGAAAGAGTTCTTCAAAAATATATCATAATCAGTTAGATCTACATTTATCACTTTTTAAAACCTGTTGTTAGAATCAGTATTTTAAAAGAGACTCATCCCAGTCTTTTTATCTCAAGGTGATTGTCTCATTGCACCAAAAAGTGTGATGAAACACCCCCCCCACCTCTTCTTAATTCTAAATTATTCATGTAGCTTCTATATAAATATTACCTTCTTTTAAAGAAGCTCTGCCCAATTCGCTGAACCTAGGTTTAGAGGACATTTTAAATATACTTTACTAAGTATGCAGATGGATTTCGCTAAACGCAGATACATAACTATAGACCCACAGCACTCCGAAAGCTGCTGTAGGTCTTCCCCTGCCCTGTGAACTCAGACACAGGGCAGCCAGTGACGCCCTCCCGTCATCACAGGTATTTATACAACTGTAATTTCATATAAATGGATCATAGCTTCTTTGGCTCAGCAGTGATTTGGGGAGTCATCCATGTTATTGCATTAATTATTCAGTGCTTCATTTTTGTTTTATTGCTGAGTAGCATTCTGGTGTATGTCTGGATCACAATTTGTTTATCCCCTTACTCCCTGTCAGTGGAGATTCGAGTTATTTTCACTTTGAGACTGTTAGGAATAAGGCTGACATGAACATTTGTGTAGATGTGTGTTTTCTTTTCATTTGTTTTTCTTCTATGAATACCTAGCAGTAGAATTGCTAGGTCTAATGTTTAATATATGTTTAACTTCAAAAGACATTGCTGAAGTATTTTCCAAAATGGTGGTCGTACCATTTTGCATTTCGACAGCACTATCGGATCTCCAGTCGCTTCATATCCTGTCCACTCTTCTCTGGTAACTGTTTGTAATATTCCAGTGGGTATGTAATCATGTCTTATGGTTTTGATTTGCATCTCTTTGGTTAACTGATGATACTGGTATCTTTTTTTTTTTTTTCTTATTGGCTATTTTATATCTTCTCTGAAATGCCTGTTGAAATCTTTTGACCATTTTTACAATTAGGTTTTTGTTTTATGAGTGAGTTACAAGAATTCTTTATATATCCTGGATCAAGTACTATGTCAAATATATTGTGAATGTTGTTTCCTACTGTAAGACTTGCCTTTATGATTTCTTAACACTGTCAAAGACAAGTTTCTTGAATTTTTATAGCTAACATTTTCTGTGTTTTCTTCTAGAAGTTTTTTAGTTTCAGCTCTTATACTTTAGGTTTGTAATCCATTTTGTTACTTTTGTGGGATGGTATGACGTAAAAGTCAAGGTTTATTTTCCATATGGGTATCTGGTTGTTTCAGCACCATTGTTTATCAAGACTGTCATTTGCTCATTGAATTCCTTAGTACTTTGTCAAATCAATTGATGATATATGTGTGTGTCTATTTCTGGACTCTTCTCCATTGATCTATATGTCCTTACACTAAAACTTGATTATTGGAGCTTTACAAATGGTTGTGAAATCAAGCGTATATGTTCTTCAATTTTGTTTTCTTCTTTCAGTATTGTTTTAGCTATGCTAGATCGTTTGCATTGCCATGTAAGTTTTAGCATCAATTCATAATTCCACAAGATACCTACTGGGATTTCTGTTGGAATTACTTTAAATCTATAGGTAAATTTTGGGGGAATTAATGTCTTAATATTGAATCTTCTAATTCATCAACATGAAATCTTTCCATTTATTTATGTTATCCTTAATTTCTCATCTGTATCTTATGCAATTACACATGATTTTATTCAATTTCAATTCTCAGTTGTTGCTAGCATGTAAAAATTTATTTAGTACATTGACTAAGGAATAAAGACTTTTTTCCCCTCAAATGAAATAAGGGTTTCATCATATATATCGCTTCTGTATTCGTGCACAGATGATATGACCCAGGAGTAGGAAGCTACGCGCTGCTAGTGCTTCTTAAACATTGTCATCCACGCAGTCCTAGTGGGAGAGTACAGGCAGGTCCGCTCATCCCTCCGCGCTGCTCAGTACACGCTGGAGGTGACTGAAGGTCTGTGAGAAGCTCCTGATACAAAATTTCTTTGGAGTTATGTTCTATCTCAAAATTTTGTGCTCGTATTTCCTTTTACTCTGTGTTATAATAAAACAAACATCCATGTTTCATTATAAATGTATTTAATTTAAATTTTTTCAAATGCAAAAGTTCAGTTACACAATTCTACAGTTTTTTAAATTTTGTAAGTTTTCCTTTCGAAAGAATAGATACCCATGATAATATACCTATTGATCTTGAGATTTAACATTGCCAGGCATTCCACAGATATGCGTATCTCATTTCAGAGGCTTAAGGGTTCAGAGCATGGACTTTTCTGGCACATACTTTGCTCTGATCCTCACTAGCTGTGTATGTTTCTGTTACTTCACCTTTCTAAACCTCAGTTTTCTCATCCTTATAATGGAGTTATGTACTAATTTTTGTTACAGGAATTAAATTATATAGTACAGCATCTTTTGATGTGAACAACTCAGAAAAATTATAGCTACTATTTTTATAGTTCTGTATGTAGGATTTTTCAACTTCCTAAATACTGTCATGGAACTTAAGGGAGAAAGTTAGTTTTGTGTTGAAGACACATTAAAAATAAGCATCTAATTAAAATAAGTTAATGGCTCCTTAAAACAGCATTTGTAGACAATACTGAACATATTCTAAGCATAATAAAAGGAACCAGCTTGAAGGGGCTCCCACTGCCTAAATCTGAGACCATTTAGGTATCAAAATAATAATAGTAACACATGATAAACCATTGAGTAAAATAATCTGTGAGCCTATATTGATAACCAGTATCCGTCAGTAGGAGACTGGCTTAATGAATTGTTACCTCCATACTAGGAAATATTGTGCTCTACAGTTATTGAACGAATGGGTACTCTCTGTATCTGTATAAAATGAAATAATTTCTTGAACAAATGCTTAAAACATTGCTCAAGATGTATTTTAACTGAAACTAATGTTCAGGTTGCAAATATTGTATATGGTAGGTAATCTTTTTGCTAAGATACACACGCACACACACACACACACACATGCTAGCATACACCATTTCAGGTAACTACTGGCAACCACTAATCTACTTTCTTACTCTGTAGATTTGCCTGCTGCAGGAATTTTGTGTAAATTAAATCATTCACCATGTATCATTTCATGCCTGGCCCGTTTTTTCTTAGCATAATATTTTCAAGTTCTATTCATGTTGTACTTCATTCCTTTTTATGGCTGAATAATATTTCATTGTAAGGATAATTCCACATTTTGTTTATCCATCACCAGTTGATAGATGTGGGTTGTTTATACTTTTTAGCTAGGATGAATAATGCTGCTATGAACATTCATATGCAATTTTTTGTGTTCATCTTTGTTTTCAGTTCTGTTTTCTGTTGGGTATTCTATCAAGGAATGGAATTTTGGGGTCATATGATACTCTGTATTTAATTTTTTGAGGAAATGTCAGTGTTTTCCAAAGCAGCTGCATCATTTTGCATCCCTAGCAGAATTATATGAGGGCTTCAGTTTCTCTACATCCTTGCCAACACTTACTTTTGTTTGTCTTTTTCATTATAACCAACCTAGCAAGTATGAAGTGGTATCTCATGGTGGATTTGATTTGCATTTCCCTAATGAATAATGGGGAATGTCTTTTTAAGTGCTTATTGACCATTTGCATATTTTCTTTGGGGAGATGCCTATTCACATTTTTGCCATTTTTAAATTGACTTGTCTTTTTATTGCTGAGTTGTAAGAATTTTTTATATTCAGGAAACAAATATTTCTCCTATTCTGTGGGTTGTCCTTTTCAATAGTATCTTTTGAAGCACAAGCCTTTTTATTTTTACTAAGCCCAATTTATTTTTCTTTTGTTACTTGTGCTTTAGGTGTGTTTTCTAGAAAACCACAGCCTCATCCAAAGTCATAGAGATTTACATCTATGTTTTCTACCGAGTTTTACAGTTTCATTTAGCTCTTACATTTAGGTCTTTAATCTATTTTGAGTTAATTTCTGTGCATGGTGTTAGGTAAAAGGTCCAACTTCATTCTTTTGTTTGTAGACATCCACTTGTCCCAGCACCATTTGTTGAAAAGACCATTCTTTCCTCATTGAATTTTCTTCACATCTTTGTCAAAAATCAGTTGAACATAGATGTCCAGTTTTATTTCCAGGATCTCAGTTTCATTGCATTGATCTATTTATCTATTCTAATGCCAGTGCCACATAGTCTTATAGCTTTGTAGTAAATTTTGAACAAACTGAGCTACATAGCCATGTAGCTGTGTAGTAAGTTTTGAAATGGGAAGTTTGAGACTTTGAACTTTGTTGTTCTTTTTCAAGGTTGGTTTGGCTATTATTCATCCCTTTCATTTCCATTCAGATTTTAGGATCAGCTTGTCAGTTTCTTCAAAGAAGCCAGTTGGATTTTATAAATTGCATTGATTCCATAAACAATTTAGGGAATATTGCCATCTTGAAAATATTAAGTCTGATCTGTGAACGTACGATGTCTTTCCATTTATGCAAGTCTTTCAATTTCTTTAAATGATGTTTTGTAGTTTTCATTGTGCAAATCTTAGAGCTCCTTTATTTAAAGTTATTGCCAAGTATTTTATTATTGATGCTATTGTAAATGGAATTGTTTTTGTAATTTTTCAGTTTGGAGTGTTATTGCTAGTGTATAGAATACAACTAATTTTGTATATTGATCTCTCATCCTGTAGCCTTACTGAATTCGTTTATTTGTTCTGATTGTTTTATTGTTATATTCTTACGATTTTATATTCATAAGATGATGTCATCTACAAATATAAATAGTTTTATTTCTTTCTTTCCAATCTGACACCTTTATTTCCATTTCTTGCCTATTGCCATGGCTAGAACCTCCAATACAGTGTTTAATAGAAGTGGTAAGAGTGAACATCCTTGTCTTATTCCTGAGTTTACTGGAAAAGCTTGGTCTGTCGCTGTTAAATATGGTGTTAGCTGTGTAAACTTTATAGATGTCCTTAACAGGTTGAGGAATATTCTATGCATTTCTAGTTTGTTGAGTGTTTTTCTCAAGAAACTAGATATCCAGTATATGCATTGGATTTGGTCAAATGCTTTTTCTGCATCTATTGGGATGATCATGTGGTTTTTCTCCTTTATTCTGTTAATACAATATATTATGTTGATTGATTGTCTTTACTGAGACAACCTTGAATTCCTGTGATAAGTTACATTTGGTCATAGTGCATAATTATTTTTACATGTGGTTATTAACAGGCTATTAAAAAGAAATATGTTTCCCTTGTAGATCCTTAGTATAAGGATATTGTCTTCCAGTTCACCTAGGTATCAAACATAGGTGCTCAAATCAAGTAGTAAAAGATTGTGTAAGTTACTTTATACCCTCTACTAGTAAACTTTTGTTACTGTAAAGGAGTCACTTCAAAGTTTTTTAGCAATGAAACCTTTTTTTAAATAAATGAGTTCTCATGTGAAGCCTCAGTATGTAAAATGGGTACATGCAGTGTTTCCTAGTTCAATGATGACTATAGCTTTTTTGGTCCTCCCCTGCTAACCTTCTCCCAGTGAGCTCCAAAGGCACTCTTTCAGAACTCAAGAATTCCCTAGAATGCAGGGAATTCTAAAATTCATCTTTATTTGTGGAGTAGGATACGTTATTTTATTTCTTTTATCCTGTCAGAATTCTAAAATATGCTTCAGTAATCATGTGATATAAAATGAAAAGTCTCCCTAACAGTCATGATTTTATCGACTATTCCTATCAATTCTAGTCAAAGGAGAAACCAAAAACTGTGCTTAATAGAAATCATCTTTTTTGTTCTGACTTTGTGGACTCTTCAACCTAGTTGTTGCTGGAACTTAGGAAAGATATCAGGGGAAAAAAAGAGCCAAGGTTATTATTAACATAGATTTTGCCCCTTTATCATTCTGAAATTTTATTCTTTAGAGACCCATTTCCAATTTTTTTTTGCTCTTTTTCTACCATCCCAATATAAAGTTAGTACGGTAGAAGGAAAGTGTTTTACCAATTATAATGCTTGACACATTTCTCCACAGAAATACTATTTTTTGTGACTGTTTCTTCAGTGTTGTTAGTACTCTATTTCAGGAAGATTATCAGTTAAAAACTTTTCTGGGCATGCTATAATTTGTATTAGAATAATGTCATAAATTACTATAAATTAGTTTATATTTTATAATAAAGTATTAATATAAAATGATGTACCAATTTATATATGTATATAGTTAGTTAATTAGTTAGTTAGTTAGTTTGTTCGTTCTGTGGGAAAATGTTCCAAGTTCCCTATTTTAACTACAGGTTAATATAACCAGATAATTTCCTGGTTTTGTTTTTTTGTGTCGTATATGTTAGTCTTAATGTACTTTTCAGTTAACTTTGAAGTTTATATTTGAGTGTAACTGAATATAATGAACCTTTTATTTGACTTAGCAAAAGGTTTCATTTGTTTACTTACTAATGAAGACTTTTAAATATAGTTGACCCTTGAACAGTGTGTATGTTAGGGGTGCTGACCCCCATATATACAGTTAAAGTCTGCATATAACCTTTGACTCCCCAAAAACTTAACTAGTAGCCTACTGTTGACCAAGCCTTATAACTAACATGACACATTAATGCACATTTTTGTGATATATATATATATATGTATGTATTATATACTATATTCTCACAATAAAGTAAGCTAGATAAAATAGATTTTTCAAATTGTCACAAATCTCCAAAAAAAATCTCCCAATGTATTTATTGAAAAAAATCTGCATGTAAGTGGACCTATGCAATTCAAACCATGTTTTTCAAGGATAAGTTGTCTCTTTTGTTTAGTTCTCAAATAGTCTCATACTGAAAATCAAGATGACAAATGCCTGGGATTATATACCAAAGTAAAATGTTTCTTTGATCATTTTATTTAGATTATTGTCATATGCTAGGAACTGATACTGAGCATAATGGTTTTTGTGCTTTTAATACCAACTTTTAGAACTATATTTTAATGAACTTTTTTTGCTTTTAGATCATTTGGGGAATATTTTTCATCTTAGTTGCATTGCTGTTTGTAATTTCTCTCTTCCTGTCAAAGTAAGTACAGTACACACATTTTATAAAGCACTTGTACACATCCTATGGTGTTACACATTTTCCATGCTAAATACCATTAGTGTAGCCTATTCATCTTAAGTAGCTATTTTACTTGAAGCATTCTACAGTATTAACTGAAAGAAAACTAAAAAGTTCTAATAATAGACAATACTTCTTTTTTTCTGTATCAGTTGAGTAATAGCACTAAGATTTAAGTGAGTTTTAATTTGTTTTCCCTGGTTTTCTTTGACTCAGTTGAATCTGCATGCTTAAGTTATAATGATATTCTTTATAAATAAACTGAAAATGTGGTAGCATAATGCATAAATTCATTCCTTGTAACTTTTTGTTGTTTTAGTTTGGATAAAGCTCTTCATTCAGCTGGAATAGATTCTGGCTTCATAATTTTTGGAGCTAACCTGACCAATCCGCTGAATATGCTTTTGCCTTTACTACAAACAGTAAGTAAAGATAGTAGTCACCTTATTGTCTAGGAAACATTCCTACATTCTGTCAAGTTGCTATGTTGACAGGCCTGTTAATACTGGGTAGCATATGCTTGTGCCCTCTGCTAATTCGGTTTTTCATTTACATATAACATCTCCATTGATATGTAAAGATTGTTATCTTGCTATATTGCTGAGCTCTTATATACATAATTTGATTTGGGATACAAGGTAAAATTTAAGGTGAACTTTTCCAAGCAATTCCTGTTTTTATTTTTTAAAGAAGTTTTTTATTCCATTTAGTTTGGAACTTTTAGTTTGCTTTAGAATATTTTTTAGGATGATGATACTAAATAATTTGGTAATAGTTTGCTTATGTCTTTTGAAAGGATTCCTTTTTTTTTGTATTATCCTAGTCTGATCTAACTCAAGCTTGATATTTTAAATATTTGCCAAATAGGAATAATGAAGTTTCAGTTAATTTTATGACTTTTAGAGCCTTATTGTTTATTTCACTTTATCTTTTTTTTCAGGTGTTCCCTCTTGATTATATTCTTATAACAGTTATTATTATGTACTTTATTTTTACGTCAATGGCGGGGATTCGAAATATTGGCATATGGTTCTTTTGGGTTAGAGTGAGTATATATTACAGTTTTGTTTTTTTCATTGTATGCATAATATCCATTATTGCAAATTATCAGTATAGAAGTTGTAAATATTTGATACTAAAGTTAAGGGAAATATTTTTCACTTCATGTTAGCTATATAAAAGTGCTTTTTGTCTAGAGTAGTGGTTCTTAAATAGTGGTGATTTTGCCCCCCAGGTACATTTGGCAATGTCTAGAGGCATTTTCAGTTGTTACAACTGGGGGTGCTCCTGGCATCTACTGAGTGGAGGCCAGGGATTCTGCTCAACCTTGCTTGCACAAGGCAGTCTCCCACAAGATGTAGTCAGCCCAAAATGTCAATAGTCCCAAGGCTGAGAAACCCTAGTCTAAAAGTTACATTATTTTCTTAGTGTTCACCTACATGGAAACACATTGAAGCACAAATGGATACAATGTAACTCAAAAAATGGCCCTTTCTCCTGGGAGTTAAAGATTACTCTATGACGGGAGAAAGGTTATTTTCTTGTGCTCATTTTGAGATATATTAAGGATTTTAAAATGAAGATGTATCAGGTAGAGATGACTTCAGCTATGAGTAAAAGAAAAGCCCAGTTAAATTGGGGTTTGGACTAATGAAAAGCTTCTGCAGTAGAAAATTAAAAAAATCTAGCATTGCATTAGTAGCTCAAAATATCAAATCCATTATCTTTATAATCCTCTTGACCCCTCCCTCATGACTGTAATATGGCTGCTGCAGCTCCCTTTAGCCTGTCCATGTTCCATAAGGGAAAGGTAGCTAGGAAGGAATGACACCAATATCAGTAAAACAGAACTTTACCAGAAATCCCCAGCAGACTTCTGCTTTCCTTTTGATGTTTAATATTCTTATCCCTGCTAGCCACTCCTAGGTATAGGAGAAACCGGGAAATGTAAATTTCAGGTGATCATATCATCATCCCATCCAGAAATGGAGTTCTGTTACTCGGTGTTACACTAGAATCTAGTAATAAAACAGGGAGGTGATGTCTTAGCTGCCAAAATGAAAGTGTACTATGACATTGAAATGAAGCAAGTTATCTTGCTCCTTATGTTACCACACGTTTTAGTTTCCCTGTAGTATAGATACATGTGAAAATATCTGTAGTCAAATGATCATAAATTATCATAAACTTGATTTTGTAGCACAGTATGAGGACTTCATGTCATGAGTATTTTATAGAAATGACTATTTAAACATGTAACATATCCTTGTGCAATATATAAAACCACAAATGTATTAGTAATACTTATAGTTTAGACTCCTTTAATCTTTAAATAGAATTAGAGGTAGTTTACAATTGTTCTTAGCTCTGTGAACTTCTAACAAATGCGATAATATAATATGTGTAGACGATTTGTCTGAAAACAAACTGTGTGAACACTACATATTCTCTAGGTCTTGAGCTTTTAATGAGTCACTTAGGGGCTCCTTTGGATATACATGCTTTGCTGTGATTTAAAAATAGACATAAATCTAAACCTAAGCTTTACTAGGAAAGAATTTATTATTATTATTATTATTAGAATTTTTTGGAATGATTAAGAATTCTTAGTATTTACTTTGAAAAAAGACATAGTTGATTTAACTGTGTCTGTTACCCCTAACACATGAGCAGGACTTAGTACCTTAAAATAAAACACATCGCTGAAATACTGTCCCTGTCTTTTTTCTTCTCAGTTATATAAAATCAGAAGAGGCAGAACCAGGCCGCAGGCGCTCTTACTCCTCTGCGTGGTACTTTTGCTTACTGTCCTTCACACTAGCTACATGATTTACAGTCTTGCTCCCCAATATGTTATGTATGGAAGCCAAAATTACTTAATAGAGGTAAGTGCGCAATTTAAACCTTCACTATTTTGGTATTTTAAAGATAAAAATGTTTAAAACCAATTTTTGATTTGTAAAGGCTGGCATAGGATTATTAGCTCATCAGATTACATGTAATATTGCTAAAACTGCTTTCATTCCATTTTTTAGCATATTTACATTTGTTTCATAGAAGTTCTTTTTAGAAGTAATACATAGATTTCATAATAGCTCCTTAAATGGATCCCATGACCTCAGCACTCTATTAAAATTCCCAATATTTCCTCTAATATTTTAAGTAATTTTCTTAACATGGCTCCCCAGAAAATTTTGGTGAGCAAAATAAGTCCGTTCATTGGTACTTGAAACCCAGAGGAGAGACTCTGTGACTGTTCTATTTGTGGGCAAACTGGACCCTTCTTCTTTAGCATCACGGATCTTACCCAGTACGCTGGCTTCTTGGTGTTGATCCTCCAAAGGCCACTTGTGTTTCCTGGTTGTAACTGGGCAGCTAGTTTGTACCTTTTGACCATTTTAAATATTTTGACCATATCTGATTCAACCTTTGTTTAGTTTGTTTCCTTTTCCTAAAATACCCCTTACTCTACCCCTTAACAATTCAAATGCATGTTTCAAGGCCTTGCTCAAACCCGGCTTTCATGCAGCTTTCAGTATTGATCTAGTCTGCCCAAAGCACTCCTTTTTTTTATCCTGTACTTCTTCCATTCTTTCTTTACTTGAGCATGTAATTAGCAACAAAAAAACATATATAACAAGCACACTAAACCCTCAGTTAGAACCATCCATAACGTTACTAAATACTGAAAAGTTAGTTCATTGGGAAATATTTAGTAATAATGCAGGTGGAACAAACATAAAGCGCAAATCATAATGGAGGTTCATGAATGACCTGAGTTTGGTAAACACAATACTAGAAGATCACCTGAGTCATATCACATCTCATATACCTTTTTATTTTCTTCTTGCCTCATCCTCTAAATGTGGTTTTCACTAACTATGTCATGTTGAATTCTTCAGTGAGTAAATAAAATAGGATCATGCTTTTGCATGAACAGAAAATATTCTTTCTTGTTCCACAGTGGAAAAAATAAGTAGGCTCTTCCTCTAGGAAGAAGCTCTGTTGTTCAACACAGGACCTAAAGATTGTCTCAAAAATGCTCTAATGTTAAACTTACCATGAATCTCTTTCTTCTTATTGATGGCTTGCATAAAATTTACCTTTTAAAATATTAGCTAGATATAGTTTAATAGAAAACAGTATAAAGTACATAATGTGGTTACTTTTTAATCAAAATATATGTATTACTATAATGTTTACATTTTAATTATATTTTCATCTTTCAGAGCAATTTAACTTATGATGACCATAAAGGCAATTCAACCCTTTCTGTGCCAAAGAGATGTGATGCGGGTGCTCCTGAGGGTAAAGCAGCTCTGATCAACTGTCTTAGAATTTGTAACTCTAGGGAAATGATTGCCTTGCGTTTTGCTGTGTTAATCATTTGATGCATTTGTTTTGATTTGTGGTGATAAAGAAACCTGTAGTAAGAAGAGATCGGTAAGTCCCTTGAGTAGATTTTCTTGGTGATAAAAGGACCATTTAAGTTAGATACTTACGAAGTAATAAAAGGTAATTATTATTTATCACATTCACTAGTATAATAAGAAATCCTTCTTAAATAAGACTTTTTTTCCTTGAAAAACTCAAGAGAATTTTGGTGAAATCTAAAATTCTTAGGACCAAGACCAAAAATACCTGTGATTTTGAACAACTTTAAATCCATTCAACTGTAGTTACTTTAACTAATAATAATAATGTTAATGATAATAGCAGTTAACTTTTAAGAATATAGAACTGTGTTCCAGGCATTGTGTATTCTCAGAAAAACTCTGTGATCCTGTGCTTTTAACCTATGTGTATTTTTAAAGAATCATTTTTTCCCTTTTTTCTGTTCATTAAAGTGATTTTTTTCCATTTGAATATTATAGTATTCTGTCTTAAGATTCAGTATTTCAAAATTTGCAAAATTTTCTTATACTTTCGCTTTCAAAATGCTTTATTTCATGGTAAAATAATGTCAAATATAGTATATTTCTTCATAAATCATTCACTCTGATTTATAATCATACCATTATAAGAAGGATAAATTCTGAGTTTTTTAGCAGGACCAAATATAGAATGTGATAGAGTAACAGGAATAGCTACAGAATACAGGGATAGCCCAGAGGAAGTAATTACTCTGCCTAGAGATCATTGTGAGAGGTAGTCAAAAAGAAAGGCTTTGGAAAAGGGGTGCCAGACTACAGTTCAAGGTTAAAGAAGAAGTTATGTGCATCAGGGAAGGCTGCTCTGAGCAAATGAACAAAATACATAAATAAAATTATCTTAAACTGTATGGTCTGTATTTAAGAGAAGTTAAAACATTATTGTTTTGTTTTTTAAATTATGTTGGAGGGTGGGAGGAAATGAGATTACAGAGTTAGGAGATCAGATCACAAAAGGTCTTAGAAAGTAACCAAAGAGCCAATGAAGAGTTTTAAACAAGAAGGCAGAAGTTATGATCTGATGTATTTTTTCTAACTTAAATTATATGGGGAACAGATTTGAGAAATTGAGACCATACCATAGAAATCAGGTGGGAGGTGTTCCCAGAAGACGCAAGTAACAGAATTCCAAGAGAGGTGGTGAGAGCCTCAACTAATGGTCACGAGGGTGTGAAATAAAGAAATTTAGAGGGTGAATTAAAATAATCTCTTATTGCTTGAATCTTAAGCAGTGGCAAGGAAAACAGGACTCTAGAATGGCTTTCTAGTTACTGAGTAGCTTGGTAAATTGGTATCACCAAGCTGAAATAAAATACATACAGAGATTAGATAAAAACGTAAGAAATGATTAGCTGACTCACAGTATCTTGGGGACATTAAGGTAGAGGTTCCGTAGGCAGTTGACCGTGTATGTGAAGAGTTTAGAGTGCAGAGTGAGGGGAGCACGGAGACTGGGGCCCCAGGAGGATCCTCCACAGGCAAGCAGATGAAGGCCCAGAGGGGGGGACTGAAAAGAAGCAATAAAAATGTTAATGATGGAGATAAAACTGATTGGATTGAATGAAAAGGAATAGAAAGCAGTGACTGAGTTTACATTAATATTCATAGAAGTTCTTAATAGAGATTGAGAGAGATTGGGTGGAAATGGAAGAAGCCTGCAGGGTCAAGCAAGTTGGGTTTTGTTATGTTTTAGATTCGGAGAGACTTCAGGGATAGTGGGATGCAATGATGGGCTTCATCAGGAAGGATGAATGATGGGCCATCATCTAGTTCCGGAGGAGATGGTGTTGAGAACATTGAAGACAGAATGCTGCAGGTAGAACGGAAGATACCTTGTTCTCTAGATTGCAAGGAAGGGTGCAAATATTTGGATTCAGTGATTTCTTGGAGTGGGCAGAAAGTTGGCATTTCTATGTGATTGTCTCAGTTTGCTTTGAAGTATAAGTTCAGGTCATCTGCTGATAATTTGAGTGGGCTGTGAGACACAAAATATAGGAAAGTGGCAAAAGTTTCTGATAAACCATGAAGGTAAATAGCAGGAGGCTCTCTGTCTGAAGGTAAGTCAGTGATAGATAAATATATCAAGGGACAGAAATGAAATTATCAATTTACATTATTATTGAACAAAGCTGTACAACTGGTATGATGATTATTTATCAGTACTTAGTCTGGGGAAGGTGGGTTGAAGGATCAAAGTAGGTTGGGAAGCAAAGGGCAAGCTTAAAAGAGAATAAAGTGACCTACCAGAGTGTCCAGATACATAGGGGAATAAGGGAGGAGACTAAAACTAGGAGAAAAGGACAAAATCAGGGGATGAGATAGGAAAACAAATATGCTGGGGATAATTTTTTTGCCTGAACAAATAATAGTAAAATGTTTCTAGTGTAAATAAATCTGACTTGATTTTCCAATTCTAGTTTTGTAGTGACTTTAGTCCCAGATTTTTTACTTTGATATGTACAGACAGACACACATCACAAATAGGGTTCTGATAGTCGAAGTGCTTTGGGTTATCATTTTTAGCTATTTGAAAATAGAATGAAAAGTTACCGTTGAGTTGATTTATGATTTTTTTATTAAAGAGATTTATTGAAGATCTAAGATAGGTTCTGTTTCTTAAATTCTTACAGTAGTATTGAAACCTTAGCATAAAAACAAAAACAATTATGTTGCGCTAGTGTGAAGGGGGCTTCCAAGTGCTCCTCTGCTGCTGAGCTGAGTGAATTTGTATATTATAGATCAACAAGCTTTAGTTAGATAATGTGCTTGACCGTAACTTTTGTTTGAATCACATTCAGTGTTTTTCACTGACCTAATTTACAGTGATTACAGTGACTCCCTTTGAATCATTGAATATTTTTCTTAAACATTTTGGTTGACTTAACTTTGAAATCTTACTGTGCAGTATAAAACATACCCTGTAGGTGTATAGGTTTGATTTATTTTTCCCAACCTTTTTTTGTTCTCTAGCTAACATTTTAAATTTAAAATGTTAAATTTGCCAATGCATACTTGGAAGAGAATGGTAGAAATATGATCATTGAATTTGGGATGGCAGGTAGATTTTTTTTTTTAAGAGAATACTTTAAATAAAAATAATGGTAGAGAAAGATAAACAGTTGAAGGCATGAGATTTGACACACAGGATTGGATATGGAGTAGAATGAATGAAGGACTGGTATGGCAGTAGCCATCTAGACTAAAGCTAGCAAATCTCAGCATGCAGAGGAAAAAATCACTATTATTTGTGCTGGTGGGCCCATTTGACTAGATTAGATGGTGCTGTAATATAAATACCCCATAAGGCACTTGATGGCATGTTTGTTGTATGTCTGTTGCAAGTAACAGCATTTGGAGTGTGACCTTTAGATGTAGAAACAAAAAATATCAGTTACAGTGTTATAATTAAAATTATTTCTGAAGAAAGATAATATCCCTGAAAGGATGTTAAAGTAGTGATTTCTAAAAATTCATGTTGATCTACTATTAATTATAAGTACATTTTAATGACTTATTTTCTTAAGTAATATTGTGTTCATATGCGGTGGTCTGGAATTTATTAAACATACAGAAAATATACTGAAAACCCTAGTTTTAAGTGTTTATGATATTTAAGATTCAAAAAAGTCATTCATCTAAAAATATTTTAGGTCTTTGTGTTTAAAATAATCTCTTAAACAATAGAATGATTTAGCAGATTTATAAGGAATACCTATCCTTCTATAAAGTTCTCTTAAAATGATAATATTACTTCATTTATCCTGACAGCTAATGCATAGTTTATATGTTCAAAGTGAGTCAACTGTGCAAATTAGAAAACAACTTTTAAATATTATGTATCACTATGGCAGAAGGACCTTTACATTCCAGTTATACATTCTTTAATTGCTATTTAATCTAATAAATGTTAATATAGTTTATATGATAATATGGTAAGGTTAATAAAACAAATGCATAATTATTAGAGAAAGCCTAAATATATGTAATTATTTGAGTCAAAATAGGAAGGTGAAAGATCAGTGTTCCTGGATGGTCAAACACAATAGACATTGTGAGCGCTGGGGGTAGATTTCGGGGAAGAGAGAACGGGTCAGAGGAAATATATATACTAGGTATATGTGTCCCTACTTTGAAAAGCATTCAGCCTAGTGGATTTGAATAGGTAAATAAATAATTGTAATAGCAGTAAAAGTAAACGGCAAACTGTAATGAAATTATAGACATAATGCTATGGGAAGACAAAGGGGATAATGATTTAGTCTGCTCAAGGCCAAATGATTTCAACTGGCTCAAAAGCATAAGTTAAATAAGTCTAAATGAACAAACAGGAAAGCGAGAGGCTATTCCAAGCAGAGAAGGAATCTGCATAACAAGGCGTAAAGACAAAAATACATGTAGCATGTTAAAGTAACAATAATTGCCATTTTTAAAAATCCATGAACTTAAAGTCTTATTTCTTTTGTCTTATTTAATTTTTTTATCTTTTCTTGAAGTAAACCCATCTTGTCTTACTTGGACGTTAAAGTAAATGGAAATGCAATGAAAACATGTAAATCATGCTTGATTATTGTGGGTTCTTCTCATTAAGTATACTTGTTAACATATATAGTCAGCCCTAAAAAATAATCAAATGATCTGTAGCTCTCAGTGATTATCTTTAGACCAGCAGCACCTGAGAATTTAGGAACTTGTTAGAAATGTGAATTATTAGGCTCCACCCTAAACCTAGAAAATCAGCGCTAGCCAAGGAACCAAGCAGCGTATAGTTTAAGGAGCCCTGCAGGCGACCCCGGGGCTGCCTCCGTCCGCACGGAGGAGAGAGCCCGGAGCCCGAGGCCCGCAGCCCCTGCCCAGCGGCTTGGTTCTGCACGCGTTGAC